CAAGATCTAATCCATTCTCTAGGTCCTGCTTTCTCTTCACTAGTTACTCACCTTTCACAGAGGTATTGAAGACTAGAGCTATGCCAAAATATGGGAGAAATCATCCTGTGCATCCTTCCCCTAAACAAACAAATAAATGAGTATGACTCTAGGGTATACAACAATCCAGAAATGACTGTACTCAGTTTAAAACATTTGTTTGGTTACTTTTTATGCAAAGATCTATAAAACCTAAGAAATATGTTTCAAAGGTTTTGTAAAAAAAAAAGAAAACTGTTTCTAAATGATGGAACCTAATGTTGCTCAAATATTTTTTTGTCAGTCCATTACTCTGGTGTGTAAGTAAATGTAGTAAAATTGAAAACGTGATGCATGTAGTAGTTCAAAAAGGAACAAAGTGTTTGCAAATTTTACTGGTTAGGAAGTACCTGGAAGGATTTCAGCTGCTGAGAGAAACCTCATTTATTTTTCCAGTGTATCTGGATATATTATTATGTCATGGTAGGTAAGTTTTCAGAAAACCCACCAAAGGATTCTTCTGCCTATACACATAGGTAAAGGAGACTTGCCTCATATTTTCAGGCTGGATATTGCTGGAATATTGCTGGATTGGGAAGCTGGGAATGGGGGCAAGACAGCCTTCAGGATGACAACAATGAAGTACCCTTGCCATGAGTAGGACCTGTAAACCCATGTGAAAACAGTTTGACTGAAACTTCACTTCTCCTTGTACCTTGGTCACCTAAAGTAATGTTCAGCAAGGTCTGTTAGTATTTCTTTCAGGTGTCCTCTCTTCCCAGGTCATGGCAGCAGGTGAAAAACAGGCAGAAAACTGTCAACCAAGGAGGCAAGGGTGTCTTGTATTCTAAGGCAGGAGAAACCCCATGAGACCAGAGATAGTGAGGAATAGACCTCATTCTTCTCTGTATACTCAGTTACAGTCATTATGCAGGCAAAAAGGGTTAAAAAGCAGCAAAGGCAAAATGCTTTGACTAGTTGCTGTGAAAACAAAGTGAAGTTTCTCTTTGGCCCTTCTGGTTTTGGTCATTTGAAAAGAACAAGAGCTCTCCAAAGGCCTGTTGCCCTAGGGAGCAGGGACATTATCTCAGTTAAATATGTTGTTTGCTTAGTTTCCTAGCATGGCAGTTACTCAAATTAAATTCAGTGGGGAAGGAGGAGGAGGAGAGAGAGGGAAGAGTTTGCATGGTGCTTGTATTTTACCTTCTATTAGAAGCCCTTAGAGAAGATACACATTTGTTATATAATCTGGATATTTATTTTTCATTGCTCTTTCATTGCCATCTGATTGTTGTTAAAGATTTATATATCTCACAGGCAACAGCTGCTTGGTGCTACAGTGTCACAGGCACACAAGAAAGAAAAAATGCTTTTGGTCTCATTGCCCCAGTGTAGGTACACCTGAGTTTGCTCTGCTGTAGAAGCAAATCCCCTCTGCTCTTGGGGGCCTCTGTAGCAACAGGGTTTAAATCCATCAGGATGCAAGGTTTATAAGAGCGTCATGTCTTCATTCTTAGGAGCATATCCTTGCTCTGCATGCCCAGCAAAGACATGCCATGCAGGTAGCTAAAACAGCACTGTTTGGTATGTTTTCTAAAACAGGTTTGCTGATTTTTGCAGAAGGACCTATCAGCCTTAAAAGGCATAAAAGTGTGGCTGGGACTCATGCAAAGTTAAGGTCAACAGCATTTCAACTCCTGCTTGTAGATGAGGTATTACAAAATCATCCTAATAATCTAGTGCTTCAAATAGGTAATTAAGGTTTAACTGCCTTGTGGAAGCAACATGTTTAATTAACAGGGATACAATCTAGATTTTATTTGCGTTCTATTGGTGCCACAAAATAGCTTGATTCTAGGACGATGACAATTTTGGCTAAGTTTCTTGGCAGATTCAGTGAAATACTAATGTTGCAAAATGTGGAATATGTTCTTTGATGTTAAGATCTCTGTATGCTTTCAAACCTCATCAGCAAGAAAGGAGACCTAATCAATGGAACAGACAGCAGTTAGCATTCCTTAGTCATGGACATCGTGGAACGAACAAGCTTCAAGGATGTAGTAAATCAAGACGCTGATATGTATCTATGTATACATTGCTAACTTGGCAAAATACTCAAGGTCCATCTATCCTATAGCTGAACTATGCTCATTATAATGCTAGAAATCATGCCTACAGGTCAAAAAGAGCCCTGCCCAGGTGAAGACCCTTCCCTCGAGCTTGCATAGAAGTTAGCTGGGTTTATAGAACTTGTATGGAAATTACTAACCAATAATAGCGGGGCTGTACTTGGCAAGTTACCAACTCTGAACTTCTGTGTATAAATAATGGCATGGAAAGTCTGGAGGGGTGTGCTTGAATTCTGGAATAGCACTGAGCACCTGGGCTTGCACAACTTTGAAATAAGCAATCAACGTCTCTCCCAAGTGTGTAATTACTAGCTTGTTGCGCACAATGGGTAACGAATCTGATTTTGTGGACAACACTACTAATCTAAGTCAGATTGCTTTCTTTACCCATTATATGTTCCGTATGTGTAGTTGCAATACTTTTAATAAATCCAGTAATTTCCTTTGGCACACTCGGTATTTTCTAAAGAAATTAAGAGTTCTTTTCATGAAAATGTCTTCCTAGACCATTTACATTCTACTAGATCAGGGTGTCTCTTCTTTAAGTCAGTTTTAGAGGGGTGAGTTTTTCTGTAGTTCACTTTTCCCAGAAGAAAAAGAAATTCCTCCTTATCTTACAGAAAATGTATGGTAAACAAAAATGTTCTCCTATTTTCCCTTCTGCACAGAACAGAAGATAAGAGAGTCCATGTGTACACTCAGTGACTCTATCGAAATAGCAACATTTGAAGCACCTAGTCAAGCAGCATCTTCACTGCTTATAGTAGCAGTCTCACTAACAGCAGAGATACACACAGGCATTCATTGTATTTTACAAATGAGTATGTGCAAAGCAGGAAGAGTGGCTGATGCTCTAACTGTCTAGCAGATTTCAAGCAATGGAGTCAGCAGTCTGTCCTGTGCACACATCATTTTACTATTTATCTTCACTTTCTCAGTCTATTTGAATGAGCAGTTCCGGTCTCAGAGAAGCTATCCATGTAGCTTGTCTTTAGGTGCAAATTCTTAAAAATAAACAACTTATTTTTTGCTAAAAATACAGCATGACTTCCTGGAACTTCCCAGTACTATATGCAGTGAAGTTAAACCTTGTTGTAGCTTGTGCAAAAGTGGTAGAGCACAACTGTCTACAAGAGCATTCTTGTAGAAAAGCCAAAGGGTGGGGAAGACAGGGTATTTCCCTCAACTGCCTCAGCTCACAGGCTTTAATTACCACTTAATATGAAAGTCTCTGAAGACTCCCTAAACAGCTTCCAGGTGATTTTGAAGGCAGGGGTTGGCAAGAATAGGCCCTATTTCAGATTAAAATAATTGCCTCCCTAGCTGTTTGCAGGATCAACATTAAGCAGTTCGTGATGTTAATGTTTGAGTAGTGGGACACACCCTAGGGGAAACTTCATGACAAACTACCTTTGTAAGACATACATACTACCATTACAGCAACCAAACAAAAATTCAGTCTATTTTTCCATTTGCAGGTGCCTGTAAGGAATTCCACCACTATCCCAGGAGTGAGATGAGGCATGGAGCAGTAACTATGCATGATAAACCTGAATTGATATACAGAAAGAAGTAATACCATCCCTCACAACATCCCCTTCTCTCACCCCCATGCTCCTGTGCCACATTGCAGCAGCTAAACCAAGCAGGGAGTTAACTGGAACAAAAATCATAGAGATTTCTTTCTTTCCTCTCCACCAAAAGATGCAAATAAAGATCAGCTTCATCAGCTAAGCCTAAACAAGCACAGACACATGAATGAATGACCATATGAAGGAAAGGTAGAACTTATCTACAGCTTCAGTTGTGTATAGCAACCTGCAGTAAAAAATATTTTAGGCCTTCATCATTAGAATTTGCTGGTGCTTTTAGAGGGACTATAATTGTAGAAAGAGGCAATATCATTTAGAAAAATTATTTATTTTTGCATACTCAATGTTCAAATAATCTGGAATGCAAATTCAGTTTGACAGAAAGCAGAAAGCAGCAGTTCCATCAGTGACATTTAGACACTACTGCAGTTCTTTTAAGTTTTTGAGAAACTTGAGTTATTTTGGATCCAAAAGCAAGACTCCCAATACAGCAAGAAATGTAAAATTACAAGTCTAGCTCTCATCAGGCACAAAACTTAAGTTTCCCTGAGAAGATGTAATCACAAACTAGTATGTAAAGTTTATATCACATTATGATGGGACTTTAAGAGTACAAAAGCACTATTTGGCTACAAAAAATTAAATGCAATTCCTTAATACTCCGTGCTGAAGATGAAATTTTCAGGAGAATTAAGAATTACATGTAACAGAACTACAGCAACCAGATTTAGGTGAAATGGTGACAGCTGGCTTTTTATATCCCCTTTTGCATAGTTTTCAGATCAATTCTAATGTTAAACTCCTGAGATCTCTCAGCATAAAGTCTGTGGAGTCCAGTGCTTTTCCCCTCCATCTTTTTTGTCTTTCTCTTCCAACTAGCATGACATTAATGGGGAAAAAATGAGCAATAACTGTGAACAACATGCATTTTTTCAAGACCTAAACCAAACCATTTAGCCAGAGGAAATCCATTAATTACACCTTCTAGATAATAAATACTCCAAATAGTTGCCCTTCCTAAAATTGCTGTCTGATTTTGTACCTAAAGCTCCAAGCCTCAATGTGCAACACGAAGCATCCCCATATTCACTTAAGACAAGCCTCTTCTCCCCCTCATCCATGGGCAAGGCAGGGAGGGCATCACCAACATGGTGAGATTCTTTACATGCATCACCACCATCACCGCTGTTGGTGTTACATGTTAAAGTACACAGCAGGATAATATTTGTACCTATGTTTCGTAACAGGAGCATAGAGTGTTTCAGTTCTTTTGCAGATACAAAGCCTTGTGCCGCAAATACTCTTCCAAACATTTCACTGCAAAAGGGTCAACATCAGTGTCAAACTTATTAGCAAAGAAGTGGTGGTTTCGTAGCATCCAGTTCAAATCCCCTACTCCAAAAACGCAGACAGAGCGAACGTGAACTCCGCTGCACGGTGGGTAGGGTGCACCTTTGGACATGTCCCCTTCAAAGTATTGCCACTTGACAAACCTGGCCAGTGCATTCATGTCAGAAACGTCGTACTTGTTGCTAGCAGAAACTGCACCTGGGACTTCAGGGATTCTCTGAATTGTTGCCCACAGGTATTCATCTGGACTGTAAGTATCCTTTGCCCACTCAATGAACTGAAGTATTTTGCTGCTTTCTAATACGTATTCTACAAATCTTCTGCTAATTACAAAATAAGCACTGCCAGAAAAAATTGGAGTACCCAGAGGTGGTAGTTGTTTGTCTATGCCTGTGTTCTTTATTTTGCCATCAATAATCTCATGGTGTTTCTTCCACCTTACTTCTTTATAAACAGGCATTTTTTCTGTTTCCAAGCTGTTTTCACCTTTAAGGGCTTTCAATTTCTCAACTATTTCCTGGTTGGTCTTTATAGGAAAGTCCATACCACATAGATTTATGAGGTATTTCCAGTTTGAACTTCTTCTGTAGAGATCTTTCATGCAGTTAATGTCTGCCTGCACTCTACTCCATGAAGCATATACCACACTCTCTAACTGGCTGGCAATAAAGACATTATCAAAACATGAGACTATTCCCTTCACAGCAGCAAAAAAAGATTCTGGAGATTTTTTGTCTACATGAATGCAGTAAAAATTCTGGGGAGCATAGATTGATCTTAGGAGTCTATCAAGCATCTCAATTTTGTGATAAACCACTATTGAGTAAGCAATTGGAAATTCTGCTTCTTCACTGCTGAGAGGTTCCATAATGTATTTCCTAGTCTTGGTAAAGGAGGCACAGTCTGCTGTCATGTTAATATAATCATTTGTTGTTAGTCTGGGGCGTTTCTTAAATGACACTGACAATGTCTCAAGCTTTACCTTTTGTATTTCTTCTACATCCCCGTCAATAATCTTGGTGCAGTTAACAGTGCTAATAGGATCTTCTTTTGTTAGCTCTAGATGCCTCCGATTTAAGAAGTCTTCTTTCTGGTTAACTTTCAAAACCGAAAGGATTACCAGAATAAGAGTTAGGCCCAGGAAAAACCTGAAGCGCGAGTTGTGGCAAAACCGTAATTTCCTCTTCAGCATTTCAAACATCAGATTGCTTTGCAGGACTAAAAAAAAATGTACTCCCCTCTGTTCATATCAGCTTCAACAACTCCAGAAAAAAAATTGTGTTGCTCAGGAATGTAGTGGGTTTGTCTTGGAAATTAAAAATCCTAAAATAAAATGAAATATGACTGTCACTTAAAGACTAAAGAGTTTCTTTAAAAACAAACAGTGATTAATAATTACGATGTTATTTAGGAACAGAAAAAAAGTGAATAGTTCAGCCAAAAGATGAATAATTCAGCCAAAAATACTCTGTTGAATATTAGAAATTGATGAATAAAATTAGTTTATTTTTCTAGAAAAGGACTGAGAAAAGCAGATAGTTTTTGTGAAACACTACTTCTGTAGTAATAAGACTATAAATTGAAGTTCAGTAAGAAAACAGAGCTGATTCAGCTGCATCTAAGACAACTGAAATCAGATGCATTACCAAGAAGCAAGTATTTTATGTCAGTTCAGAGTCTGACAGGAATGTTTTATACCCAGTTCAGTGTTGACATAGATTTCATTACCATTAAAACTTACCACTCACTTCCTGGATGGTAGTCATGCTTTAATTCTCAACTGGTAAAGCAGTCCCTGAAGCCTTTCAAGATCTGTATGTGAGATAGTCTCTTCAACATCCTGCACATGAGCTTAGAAATACCATCAGGAAAAAGCTGATGAGAAGGGAGAGAAAAAACAATTAGTATAGCATAGCAACTCAATTTTCAGAGTTGTGCGAACAACTGCTACTGAATTGCTGAAATACCTTCTTAGGGCAGTATGTATGGCCTATATCTGAAGGTGATTTGTGTTAAGTCACTGGAAATCACAAATCCAAGAGCACAGCAGTGTTGTACTACCATGGTTTAAACACACCTGTTTTCATGATTCAGCAATTGCTTTAATGTTGAGATATGCTGCAAGGCTGAATTGAAACAAGATTTCTAGTATGACAATTTTATTTTCATCTTTACTTCAAAGGCACTACATCATTTTTGGTCATTAGTCCTGTTTCCCCTTAAGCACCTTTTTTTTCTGTTTCAGCACTCTCTGAAGGGATCACTGCATAGTTATGCAGCTGCAACAGCTGTAGCTGTTGAGAAAACTGCAGTCTAGAACTGGATTACAGAACTGGGTGTCTTTTTGTGCAAGTATTACCTCATGCAGGTAAATGGATAAAGAACAGGGTATCCTTAAACAATTTACATTACTACACAAATGCCATTTGTACTTAAAATTCATTGCCTAATAATTTAGTGCAGGTTTGAACTTCAAAGCAACCTCTAACTGCAAAAGCCCGTACAGTTTACAGGGAATGTCTTCCAAAATTTTAATCTGTAAGTTAAAAGGTCAATGAAATATCAAGGTATTCGAGAGATATAAAGTTCCTTACGTTTTTACTACTTTCAAGAAAAAAAACAGTGCGTCTGGATAACTTCCTGAACAGCTCTAAGAATAACTGCTACACAGAAAACCTGATATGAAACTTTCAGAAGTATATAATGTGTCCATTTATGGGTTTTGCTGTAGGTTGCTCAGCATAAGATTTCCCCTTTTTTCTCCTCTTTTCTTTAAACTACCCAAGTATCAATTCAGCTTTTAATTCCTAAACTATGGCTGTTAACCTGCTACTTGCATATCTTAGAACAGGCACATTTAAGAAGTTGAGGCCTGGAATCATAGAATTTTTGTTAGTAATGCTGCCACCAGGATGCACTGCACATTGGGTCTACTACTTTGCCAGTAGCATTTCAAACTGAGTGGGGGAATTGATCCACATGTAGCAGATGGGGGGGAAGGTGTGGATCACAAATGCCTAGCACAGCTATGAGGATCAGCAGTATTTTGAGGAAGTACTATAACAAAACATTTTGTAACTCGAGCCAACAGCAGGCAGAGACGACAAACTAGACACAAATTTGTGACTAACTGCATTATACAAACATCTTAATTACTCTAAAGTGTACTTTGTTTTTGGAGTTGCAACTGCAATTATTTTAACCTACATTTCTAACTTACCTTATGGGAGGTAGACATTTGTTCCAAGTCTCTTTTAAGTGTGTAGTGACGTCAAGCTGGAAAAAGATGTAGATTTTAACCCTTAAGACAAGTAGCCAGGTAAGATAGTGTGCAATTACAGCTGAAAGCATAGAGGGACATTTTAAGAATCAGGTCTCACACTTTAGAATAAAAAAAAATTTAAAAGGAAAATTCCACAATTGCAATGTGACATCGAACACAGTGACAAAATTTAGTAAACGTTTTAACATGCTTTATAACTTACCACACACACATTCTTGCTTACTTGATATGCTGCTAGTTTTGACTAGCAGATATGATCCAGTAAAAATAATATCCATCACAGAATAAGTTAACAAGGGATGGATACTAGCTATGTGGCAGTGTCTATTGGGTGTATATTTTCATAGGATAAAGCTTATCATACCGATTACCCTTAAATTACTCTTTTCTGTCTACCAACTTCAAAATTAAGACTTTTCTAGAATTTTAAACGTACTACAAATTTATATTTGTGAATCTTGAGTTGACAGAAGCTGGAGTCCTCCTTTCTTTAGGCTGTTTTATCTATACTGATACTGTTTTACCCTACTCTTAGTTTTTATAAGAACATTAACACTGAGGAGTAACGCACACTCAAGAATGACCATCCCCTCCCTGTTCTTTACACTGCAGGGAGATAGAGTCTAAATTGAAAGTGACCATTGCAGTCTTCATCTTATAAAATTTTCAAAAAAAAAAGCTTGCTAAGAAGTGTTTCCTCTTCCTGTTTTAGAACAAAACTTAGTTGAAAGCAAGATAAAGAGTCTCTTTCAGAAAGGCCTTATAAACCCGGCTGGGTGCAACTCCTCTGTTGTTCTGGGTTCAGAACCATTTGATCCTGCATTTTCATTATAACAAAATGAGAGATCTGCAAACATTTACACATTAACATGACTCTTATCTTTATGTGAAGATTTGCCTGCAGTCAGATTTCTCTGACTGACATGCTGCTTCCCCTGAACAGTTTTAACAGTAAGTTACTATTTGTTTAAGCCTGCAATTTCTTTTCTAAAAGTCCTAAAACTTGATCACATCCCATTCACAAAAACTGACCTTTACAGGATAAGATTTGGTACCTTTCATCTAATATACTTAATACACATATAGGTTTATCAACCTAGAATACTCATTAATATAGCTTCAGACTGCATTCAGTACAGCCTTTAACATCTTCTTCTTAAGCTGTGCATACCTTTAGTGTGCATGATAGAGAATACCCTGCCAAAGGCAGCACTTTGCAGGCAGGAGGTTTGTGCAGCTATGGGGAAAAGCCTTCGTCTTGCTCTCAACTGAAGTTCAGTTGCAGAAATTACATACCTGACTCATTTCCTTCTTTTACTGCCTCCTCCTCGAGTCAAGTCTGTATTCTGAGGCAGCAGTCATTTTTTAAGAGGAAACTTGTAGCAGTTGTTGGTAGTTAGGGATGTTAGTACCAAGGCTGAGTTGGCTGCCTGCTTCCCTCTTTCCTACCAAAATTATTCTTCACTGTATGGTATGATTAAACAAAACCAAGAAAATTTCAACTTGATTTCTACTAGCAATTTGTGTTCTCCATTTAAACAGACCTTATGGAAAGAAGGATGACTATACCTGTTTTAAATCTCCACCTCTGGCACCTCTTCTGTGTCAGAGGGCAAATCACTTGGATAATCTGTCTCAAATTTATTCAACTGTGAAACAAGTACTTATTGCCTGGC